AGGACTCATGTGAGAATCAGTTCTGCTACTGCTTAGTTCCTTCCAGTAAAAAGTCAAAACTGTGACTTTGCAGGGGGACATAGTTCATTTGCAGCAGAGTCTTATTTACAGCAGCAAGCAAATAGCCCATATTTGTCTCCTCCAGCAGTAATTTCTCAATTGCTTGGTTTGCATTCATTTAATTAATGGGTTGAATGTGGTAAGGTGAGCTCACAGAACACTGTGTAGTGTTTGTGCTCTTCTCGACTTTTCAATTTGGCCTGCCTAAATCATGATTTGTCTCCCTTATTCTTTAATTTTCAAGTTACATGTTTAAAAGTGGAAACTAGAGACGTCCAAAAGATTTTCTTTCACATTCTTCTGTCTCCTTTCCCCTTATAGGGCATGGAGATGCTCTGGTTAAGAATATGATCTAATCTAAGGCACAGAAAAGCGGCTATCATAAAACTTTTGAAATATTCCCACAATGGTCATTAAGGGGGCAGATGGCTCTCTGTGTCTTAAAAAATGTCATGCTGAGAGGTCGCATTTCTTAGCCACCCCCCCGCAACCAGACGGCCCTAGGAATGGTTTGGAAGTTAGAGAATGAACAAATGTGATGGGAAGCGATACTTCTGCTCTGCAAAATAATATTGTGTGCTTTCCCCATCGTGCTCAGTGGTCAAGACCTGAGGTTTTATTTAGCACAATGTTTTTCTTACTTAATGTGAATGTAGACCAAAAAGCTACCAAATGAAAGCCCCCAAGTCTTATTCAGGCCGTTGTTGTGTTTTGTTGGCTCACATGATGTTTTAAAACAACTCTTGCTAGTATTTAACATCTTACACGGACTCTCCAGTGCCTTTTGGAAGAAAACTCAAAGATCTGGCAACACTGAGCCCAGACCTCTCTAAGAAAGAGATCCTCAAAGTGTGGTGCCTGGACCAGCATGCTTAGTAGACCTGCTGGGGCAGGGGCCCAACTATCCGTGTTTTAACAAGCTTTACACCTATAGCCCTTAAACCAGCCTATGCTGTCTCTCACAGTGAGTTATTATTCTTATGTTCATGTCTGTTTCAAGAGTTAACTGGTGGATGAAGAGCAGGGGCGAGTGAAGAGGTACATCAGCACCTTTCATGGTAGGGGATCTCAGGGGAGACTAGACCAAGATCTGCAGAGCTAAAGGCTTTTCCAGACTGTTTAAAGATATCCGAGGGCCAGAGTCGATGTTCGGTTTTCCTGATGCTGAAGACTGAACAAGTGAGGTGTGAGAGTTGTGCTCAACCAGGCGTTCAGGTCCAGGGTCTGTAGTAGGGATGAAAGGGGCTGGAGTGAAGACAAAAGTGACCAGGATGGGTAGAGAGACACTCCCCTGAACGGGGCTAGAGGTTGGCATGGTGGAGATTTTCAAGGAAGCCTCAGTCGTGGAGAGAACTGGGAAGCAGTCCACCAAGTGAAGTGGATCCCGGCGGGGATGTCTTCTCTGGGTTTTTCTTCTATTTTCTTTCCCTGGGCCATGAAGCAGCCATATTTATCATCCTGGTTGTTTTTTCTCTCTTCCTCTGTTTTCATTTCCTCTGCTGATACCTCCAGCCCTACCATAAGTCATGAGTGGAGTACTGTTGGCAATTAAGGGCAGCAGAGTAACAGGAAGGATGGTGACATTCACCACCTCCCTGAAGCTCTGCAGAGAGGCCAGGCCCTCCCAAGGAGGTAGACTGTGGCCCAGGAGGTCCAAGCAGTAGCAAACATGGACATGTCCATTGGTCTTCAGGGGAGCAGGAGGTGCTGGGAGAATCGTGCGACTCAGAGCAAGTGTGAAACAAACCACCTATTTCCTAGAGGCATCAAGAGAAGCACCCTTCAAGGGAAGGGAGGGTGCTGATCTGATGATCGTTGGAGCGCACAGGCACAATTTTTGTCCAACTATGGAGTTAGACGTTGAAAGACACAGTTGTCTCCCCATGTCCACCTTTTAAAGGATTCACTTGTCTTAAGGAATAAATTACAAATTCAATTTCAAGTGATTTAAGTAAGAATTTTAAAAAACATGCAAATCTGGAATAGTATCTTTATGGAAGTTTCGGTCCTAGTTCTAATTTTAAATTTCTAATTGATCCAAGAGATTTCTCAGAAATCTATGAAATTATTGTAATTGGCCAACTTCCTTCAAAATTTTTGCCTTTTCTGACTGAGACAAGGAACTGGCAGGTACTGCTTTGGGTACTGCTTTGGGTGTTGCTGCAGATATTGCCTTGGGCATTGCTTTGAGCGTTGCTGCAGTATTGCCTAACTGAATCCGGGTCTCAAAACAAAGTTTCAAATTACCCTGAACAAAACAGGATGGGGGCAGGACAAGTTCCAACACCTTAGAACAAAGATGGTGAAACACCTCCTCTGCCATGAATATTCCTCTCTATAGAAAGGCAGCAGGAACCAGGGAGCCAGTTCTCTTCTGCAGGGAGAGCTAGCTTCTCTGCTCTGTCTGTGGAGTAGACTTTCTATAGTTTCTGATGAAATTTCCCGTTCACTTTCTACTCTCTGCTCGCTCCTGAATTCTTTCTTGCGTGAAGCTAAGGACCCACTTGGACTTCAAGTGGCTCTCAGCATTGGGAGTCACTTTCCTGTGTCATGACCAGCCCATTAGAAGGTAATTCCCTTCTCTCTCACACACACTCGTCTCCTTTCCTCATGCATTCTTCCTCCACACTGATCTCCATCTGACATAAGATATGTTTACCATTTAATCTTAATTTATCTGTTTATTTCTTCTAGAATGCTGGCTCTCAGAGGGAAGGCTTTTGTTCACTGCCATATCCCTAGCACTGAAATTGTGGCTGGCACAGAGAAAGCATCCAAAAAAACGAGTGTTGAATGAATGAATGAGCTGGAATATGTTTGTAAATGATTTTTTTGGTAAATAATTTCTTCTGTAGACATTTGACTTTCAAAGAAGCTCTGGTTTCTGCCAGGCATTCTGCATAATAAGAGAAGCTGTTTCCTTGGGTGCTGGCACTAACACGAGGTATTACGAGGTATTATGCACATTAGTTGCAGAGATTAAACAGAGGGTGTGATGTTATGAGACAATACCGACAATTAGAAGTATAAAAAGTTGGTTTTCTGAGTAGAATGGTATTTGGAAGTCATAACTTTCTTGCTGAGCAATTTCTGTGGGGAAAAAAAAATAGTCTACAGAACATCACAGCCAGGGAAGGCAAAAATATTCTCCATAACTTCATTAATTATACCGGGAACATCAAGTAGCTGCTGGAAAAATCTCTATAGATGCACTCCTGATGGGGAATATTACAAGTTCAGAAATTAAAATCCCTAAGGAAAATTATTGGGTAGGAATCCACAGAGAGGAGGAAATTGCATGTATTTTAAATATGACTGCACAAAAGTTTAATGCAATTTAAGATA